CCACTTGAGTCAGTGGATACCCTATTATACAGGCAGGTAGTATAATATTTTGTAACCCTGATCCAACTCATGTGGGTGAGGCCAGAAAATAATGGTCAGTTTCTTACCAGCACTTTTGTGTAAGAGCTTTCGTTATAGCAATCACCATCAATTTGGGTTTGATTCCCTGTATATTGAGACTATATTTTATACAGGAAATGTTTCTCAAACTCTTTGACATCCTGAGTGTCATGACACTGGCCAGAATCACTCTTCCTATCAATGAAGGGATCTTAGAACCAGCCAGAGTGCTATGATGAACCCCAGCCACTCTTCTTCCCACCTCCAAGTATGTGAAAAAATGGTGTCAGGTGTTGCCGAAAGGCTTCAAACACTTTTATGCCCACCCAAATCCAGGGTCCTTGGTCATCTCTGCAATGCAAGAGAAATCAAAGTTCACTAAAGGTGCTCATAAGGACAAGCATACTAAGATGTTACATCTGTATGGATGAAAGGTATATTCATCTGCCTCATTGCACCCAAGTTGGTGAACTGCCAAGTACAATTATCTCATGTGGGGGAGGGTTGTCCCCTTCCTTTTGAAAATCCCACAGGATTGTGGGGATGAAATGAAAGAGAACATCATGGGGGGCAAATGGTTGTGAGAACTCATTGCAGGCAGCCATGGATGCCTCTGACTCAGCCTCAAGGCCAATGGTCACAGCCTTCTCTATGAACTAGGCCTTGTGGCTCCAGGCATCAGGCATACCATACGAAGCATGATAGAGCACTTGGCCTTCAAGAGAATGGTGCTTGTCAGCCAGAATCAGATTAAGTGCTGTATTTCTCCAAGGACTCAAGGGCTGCATTATGGTCCCTGGGAACTTAGAATCATAGAATATCAGGGTTGGAAGGGACCTCAGGAGGTCATCGAGTCCAACCCCCTGCTCAAAAGCAGGACCCATCCCCAATTAATCATCCCAGCCAGGGCTTTGTCAAGCCTGACCTTAAAAACTTCTAAGGAAGGAGATTCCACCACCTCCCTAGGCAACACATTCCAGTGTTTCACCACCCTCCTAGTGAAAAAGTTTTTCCTAATATCCAACCTAAACCTCCCCCACTGCAACTTGAGACCATTACTCCTTGTCCTGTCCTCTTCCACCACTGAGAATAGTCTAGAACCATCCTCTCTGGAACCACCTCTCAGGTAGTTGAAAGCAGCTATCAAATTCCCCCTCATTCTTCTCTTCCGCAGACTAAACAATCCCAGTTCCCTCAGCCTCTCCTCATAAGTCATGTGTTCCAGACCCCTAATCATTTTTGTTGCCCTTCGCTGGACTCTTTCCAATTTATCCACATCCTTCTTGTAGTGTGGGGCCCAAAACTGGACACAGTACTCCAGTTGAGGCCTCACCAATGTCAAATAGAGGGGGACGATCACGTTCCTCGATCTGCTCGCTATGCCCCTACTTATACATCCCAAAATGCCATTGGCCTTCTTGGCAACAAGGGCACACTGCTGACTCATATCCAGCTTCTCGTTCACTGTCACCCCTAGGTCCTTTTCCGCAGAACTGCTGCCTAGCCATTCGGTCCCTAGTCTGTAGCTGTGCATTGGGTTCTTCCGTCCTAAGTGCAGGACCCTGCACTTATCCTTATTGAACCTCATCAGATTTCTTTTGGCCCAGTCCTCCAATTTGTCTAGGTCCCTCTGTATCCTATCCCTGCCCTCCAGCGTATCTACCACTCCTCCCAGTTTAGTATCATCCGCAAATTTGCTGAGAGTGCAATCCACACCATCCTCCAGATCATTTATGAAGATATTGAACAAAAACTTACACCTTAGCTCTCTGTGGAAAGCCTTACAAATATCAACCCCAGAAAAGGCAAAGTATGCCGCCTTATTCTCAGGCCCAACAGTCAGAATACCAGCAAAGGGAGAAACTAGATGCTCCAGTGATGTCTGTCTTCCATCTCCTGTACCAGCCTGGCTCCTCCTGAGGCAGCAGATTTGATGGGACTGTTGAGAGCCACAATGGAGCCATCTGAAACCTCCCTGTGATGGGATATACAAATCCCACATTGGGTCTGAAGTGGTTAAAAGAGAATACAGGGCCCAGGGATCTCCTCCCCTCTAGGTCTGCTGAGTATGCTCTGACTGGATGAGTGGGTTAAAAGGAGCTGAGCAGTCAGGCAGAGGGTGATGGACAGGCTGCTGGGAGATGAGCCTTCTCCGAGAAGCCAGACAGAAGGCTGAGTCTGACAGGGGATCATGGGCTGGGTAAGGCCCACAGGTAGTGCCTTCTCCAATCCCCACCCCCTTTAAGAACAAGCAGGTCCTGTAGAGCCCTGCTTATTTGGGCTTTTCTTGGGTTTGTCTACACTGCAGTTATACACCCGCAGCTGGCCTGTGCCAGCTGACTCAGGCTTGCAGGACTTGGGCTACAGGGCTGTAAAATTGCAGTGTGGACATTCGGGCTCAGGCTCTGGGACTGATCCTGTGAGAAGAGAGGGTTCTATAACTCGGGCTCCAGCTCGAGCCTGAATGTCTGCACTGCACTTTTACAGCCCACAGCCCAAGACAGCAGACATGGGCCAGCCATGGATGTTTAATTGTAGTGTAGACATACCCTCAGTTAAATTATTGACACTGTGGAGGAGCACATGGTTTGGACAGAGACATCCATTAGGGGAGGATCTATTAATAGGGATTCTCTATATCTTAGTAAGGAGGAGAGGATGGAAGATGGTAAAGTACAGGTAGGATCTGATGAAAAACAGTCGAATGAAGAAGAGTTGCTGTGGATGCTCGACCCTGCCCTTCCTTTGGTTGTACACACCCTGTTCCCAGCAAGCTACAGCACAGAGCTGAGCTCCATGCTATGCAAGGTATTGCACACCTGTCGCTCTCCCTCTGGCATCATGCCCCCACACTTGTGCAGTAAGCTCTTTGGGGCAAGGATTGTCTCCTATGGCAGTGGTTTTCAAATCATGGGTTGCGACCCAGAAGTGAGTCGCAGAATGGAAGGGACTGGGTCGCGGTGGCTCTGGTTAGCATTGCCGACTAGGCTATTAAAAGTCCTGTCGGCGGTGCTGCCTTGCTAAGGTAGGCTAGTCCCTACCTGTTCCGACACTGCATTGCGTCCCGGAAGTAGCCAGCAGCAGGTCTGGTTCCTAGGCGGGGGGGCCATGGGCTCTGCACACTGCCCCAGCCCCGAGCACTGGCTCTGCACTCCCATTGGCTGGGAACCAGCCAGTGGGTGGGGTGGAGGTGGTGCCTGCGAGTGAGAGTCGGACCTGCTGCAGGCTGGAAGCCTGCTTCTGCACCTGGGCTGTGCTGCTGACCGGGAGCTGCTGGAGGTAAGCCCTGAGCCCCAACCCCACACCCCAATCCCCGGCCCCAGCCCTGAGCCCCCCCAAACCTGGAGCCCCTTCCTGCACCCCAAACCTCTCAACCCTGGCCCCATCCCAGAGCCTGCACCCTCAGCCCAGAGACCTGACTCCTGCCCCAGCCCACAGCCCCCTCCCACACACTGAACCCCTCATTCCTGGCCCCACCCTGCAGCCATCACCCCTGCACCCCAATCCTCTGCCTCAGCCCTGAGCCCCTCCCACACCCCAAACCCCTCATCCCCAGCTCCATTGGATTGTGGGCATCAGCAGTTTTCTTCAACTGGGTCGCCAGAAAAAGAGTTTGAAAACCCTATCCTATGATGTATTTGCATGGTGCCTAGCACAATGGGGCCTCAATCTTGTTTGGGGCCTCAAGGCACAACAGTAATACAATAATACAAATAAATAATACTTGGCAACATTAGGCTCCCTCATCTCAACACAAGCAGAAACTAACTCAATAAAATCTTAGATTATCATAAGGACACATATATTTCACTAAAATGAAAAAATGTAAACTGATAATCTAGTTTAGAAAGAAATTGAAACTAGTTAGTAGAAAAGCATGCCCAGATTGATATGATTCTGGAAACAAATTATTGCTTTCAGAATAAGAGAGAGAGAGGAAAGCAAATTACCAAAATATTCAAAAAAGAACAATGGTAGGCAGAAAGTGTGGAAATTTAAAGATTTCTCTATTTGTACAGTAGTTCAAAGTTTTCAGAGCAGGGTAAAGAATCATTATGGATGTTCAAGTGATTGAATTCTTTTGTTCATATGAATCTGCCAGTGTATTTTCCAAAACATCTTGGGATAGAAAATAAACATTCTAAAAATCAATTATTTATCTTTGGGCTGTCCACCTGTTTTCTGCATAGGAAAGAACACAAAATAAAAATTAATTAAAATGTTTTTTTCTAATAAAGTTAGAGCAGTTATAAAATGAAAGTGCTCTCTCAGTGCCACTGTTATTTTTATTTGAAATTTACAGTATAACACACTTGCTGGATTCATAAACTAGAAATAAATTCACTGAAAATCTAATATAATGTCTAGGGGTTTGAGTGTTTGTTGCTACATATGCATTTTCTATTTAAATTTAGGTCTGAATCTATTAACTAAAATATCATAGGGTATTCTTTGGTTCTCTTTATGTAGTCCTAACATAGGTCTTTTAAAACCAAGAAGATCTCAAGGTCAGATTCAGACTGACTTATACACATGCAGCTATCACTCTAACAAATTTGTTTAAAACTGGAGCAGCAGAGGATAGGAATTCTTATAGAAGTTGACCAGTTTAGCACAATTTCTCTAGGAATACTGTATGGTTGCAAATCATAGGCTAAAACTTCCAAGCCTCACCGATTTAAAATTCCCAATTGAGGCCTGCAGGCTCAGTTTTGTATATCAACAGAAGTAAATAGTTTGACATTGTAGATGCCTCTGATGTTATCCAGTTACAATCTGAGTAATTTGCAGCAAAACACTCTGACTTACTTTATTAAAAAGGGAAGCGTTTGCTACAGCATGTTGTTGATCTTTTCTCGATGAGCACCCAACTTTTTCTTTCAAGAAAAACGTAACCCTATTTGTTAAGTAATATCAGCTTTTTGTACTTCTGTGTTTAGCTGATACATTTAGAAGGAAACTAGAAGAACTGGAGCGAGAGAAGAATTCTTCAAAATTTCAGCTTCCTTCAAGGCATCCTTCAATTATCAGCTTCTTGGACAGATTCAGTGCACAAGTTCAAGCAGCGTTGTTCTGGGCTGCAGATCGGTAAGTTCACTGGAGCCTTATGACGTGGAACTATATTTCTGTTTTTCTTGAAGTACTGGGTATAAGTTATGGCTAGATTTTTAATTTTTAAACAAAAAGTGAATGCTTTGGAGCACTGATACTATACCTTTTAAGAATACAATAATAATATTTCAGTCCCATTTATGTCATTTTTCCTTTTCTCCAGGTCTTTGAAAATTGTCATATTAGAGCCTGAGCCTGAATGAATGAAGTCAATTTGACTTTTACCACTGATTTCAATGAGAACAGGCTTGAACCCTTGTACAGCAACTTAAACATATAGCAGCAAGGCAGCCTGAGCTACATCTCCCTGTGGAACTAAACCCAGTTCCCTTTTGGGGAGATGAAAAAACATTTAACTATAAAGTGTGTAAATCACTTCTGCCCTGGATTCTCCTGCCAGCTTGGGAATCACTTTTATTCATTATTAGTTAAGGACTAGCAATATGCTGAGCACTGTGCAGTTCACAAAAATAGTCCGTCTCTCCCGCTAGAGCTAGCAACTTGCAAGACAGAGAGAATCCGAGATGCACCAGATGACCCTGGGGAAGTAATTAACCCCCTCCCCCCCAATTTTTTTTTCTCATTTGTGTTTGAGTCTCTTTTCTTTCACACTACTGAGTGGCTTAATTACAAATAAGGAGGTTCTTTCTTAGGTATTTATTAGTTATGGCGTTAATGTGGGAAATCTTGTTTTCTGACAACTCACAGTGATAAAGACCTTGGTGTGATATTTGATCTATGCATACTTGTGTTGACTTACATAAGTGCTAGATAAAATACATATAGACAATGGGACTTCACTAAACAGATATTCTATTGTTTTTTTTTTTTAATTTGGTTTAGCCCTTGTTCATTGTATGTGTAAAGTAATGTGATTTGTTTTGAAATACACTCCATAAGGATTACCTCTTGTGGTCTCATATGGTAGAAGAGAGCGATTTTGTCAATTGTATGGGTGACAGAACCATGAATCAAAGTACAGGATAAAAGATACTTAAATGCTGTATCAAGAGGTGCCTTTCATATTATTTGTAATAAATTATTCTTGTATTTCGAGAGAGACTGTCAACTTGAATGATTGGAAACTGATTAATTTTAAGAAATTTGTTTTCTGATGGGGCATCCTCTAAATTGTATGTCCTGAGTATTATAAAAAAAATGTTCATGACAGTTTTTCTGTTCCCCTGCTGAAGACTAGAAGCATCTTTTGTGCAGGTGTGAGAGCAACAGTACCAACCACAGTCAGACCCAGTTCTTGCTTTTCACCCTTGTCTCTGTGCACACGACTCTCTACTGTTTTTTTCAGATTCAGCTTGGCTATTGCTTTTATTGTTAAACACCTTTTTTTCATTTGTGGTCTTTTGCATTTGACAGCACTTTGTATATAGTTTCTCTGTTTTGCTAATAGAACATACTCTTCTCCAGGCTCTGCAAGAAGGTGTTTAAAAATCTTTAAAATAAAAAAATAGGTACAGTAATATTTTAAATAGGGCTAGCTAGAAAAAAAATCTGTTTTGTGAAAAATGTTGAAGTTTTGAGACTTGTTCCACAGTGGAATAAAATCGAGGTCTTTTGAATTATTCATGAACAAAAGAAAAAAAGAGAGAAAGAGAACGAGAGAGAAACACACAACCCAGAGCAGCCGTAGCTTGCTGGTTAGGGATGTGGGAGACCCCGGTTAAACCACCTAGATCTCCCATATCCCAGGTGAGTGCCCTAACCACCAAACTATTGGCTATTCTGGGGTTAGTTGGTCTTTTGGTCAATCAGTCTATCTGGTTTTGACACGAAATTCCAGACTGGATCAGAGAAAACTTTTCTACAAAAATTGAATCAGAATTAATATATTTCTGTGAAAATTTTAGGTTTTGACAAATTCACATTTTCTGATGTAAGTTTTTGGGTTAAAAAAAAATCCTGGCTGGCACTAGCTTTAAGTTTCCTCTCCACAGCTGTTTTTAACAGCCTTGTTTCTGCTGCATATAGCCGAGTTGTCATCACTACCACATTGAACACTTGTATCTTAGTTATCACACATACATCCTGCTGCTCAAACAGAGCCCCTGAAGACACTGAAATGCCACTGATGCAAGACTGATCTGATGTGTGACTTCTTTGGATATAGAACATCCTGCTGTCAATTGTCTATCCAGAAAACTATTCACCCATTCAACGTCATTGCCATCTACATGCTGTGCCTGTACGTTGTTCATTTCCATTTTATAGCTTTGGTTTTATTACCATTGATCTTAAGTCCCTCAGATTTTGCAGTTTTCCACAGCTCTTCCAGCACTAGCTGTAGTTGGTCTGTAGTTTCTCCAAGTAAGGCAACATCATCCCCTAATGATGAATATTTAAACTTCATACCTTCTACTTGCCTTCAGTCACCTTTATCATCACATAGTCTATTTGAACATTAAATAATGTAGGTGAGAGAACGCATCCCTGGTGTACTCCTTTTCCTACTTAAACGAATCTATAATATAACCGTAGATCCTCACACAGCTAAACGTACTGTGCTACAGTTTCTCCACTCGGCACACCAAGGCTTGAGGCACCCCAGACTGACATAATAGTATGCACAGTACTCACCAATGCACTAAGTCAAAAGCAGCTGCAAAGTCTATAAACACAATGTTAACTTTTTTTTGTCCCTCTATTCGTTTTTCAATAATATTCTGCAGAGCATATATAGCATGGATCTTCAATTGACCTGGATGGAAACCACACTGGTTGTCTCTTTTTTTGGGCTGACATAATATATCAGTTCAGTAGTAAGACCATAAACACCTTCCCTGGGACTAACAGCAGCACTATTTCCCTATAATTTGAACAAACTGATGACCCTCCCTTTTTTTTGTGATGATGGCAGTCCATTTTCCAATCTTCTGGAATGCACCCGGTTTCCCAAACTCTTAAGACAACGCTCTGAAGCCAGTGAACTAAATCCGGGCCACCACCCTTTAGCAGATCTGATGGAATATTGTCAAAACAAGGTGCTTTATCCTTTTGTAATTATTTGACTGAAATCATCACTTCCTCTCACATCACCAGGTTGTTTTTTGCTGGATTCGTTTTTGAATTAAGTTGTTTATGTCTTGGTGGGGATCTCTTCATTAATTCACAAAAATGCTCATGCCAGTGCGTAAATTGGGCACCAGAATCCTGAGTATTCTCCATTTTTGTCTTTAACTGGCAGAAGTCATGAGAATGGATGTCCAATTAGGACCTTCAGACTTTCAAATATCCATTTCTTTTCTCGTCTTTCAGAGGCTTCCACAAAGCACTGCACCATACGATTCCACCATTGGTGCACCAAGCCACTAGATTCTTTGTTCCTAGTGCAGGTCGGAAGCCCAGATAAAGTGGGAGGGGTGGCCAATGGCCTGATAAGCCATTCCTATGAAACATTTCTGGCTTTGATGTGTGGAAGAAAAGGACATAAAACTTCAACAGTTTCATCTGCAATTCACATGGAACCAGACTTCAGGATTCATCTAATTTTTCTACTACATACAGAGGAGTCAGACTGTGTGATGATGTTTCTTCCATATACCAGAGATGGAGAGAAGCATCTGACATAAAGATGGTAAATACGCTTTGGCAATGACATCAGTATCTGAGGATGGGATCATGGAACGTTTATCATTAAGAGCCATCAGAAAAATGACTCTCCTGGCTGAATAACTGAAAAGGTTGAAAGTTGATGTAAGAAGCACACAGGAGACAGGGTGGAATTTGAACACCAAGAGCACGGCTCTTATTCGTAGTGGGTCAGACTTTTCGATTGTTACATGCCCGCAATACATCTGATAGGCACATTGGTGTTGCTCTGGTTTTGTCCCTGAGGACAAAATCTGTATTATTGACTTGGCAGGCTTTATTCTCCACACCTGATAGCTGCTATTTTCAGTTTGAAGGTAGGACATGTGGTATGCTCTGCTTGAGGCAAGCCCTGATGCTGAAAAAGATGCTTTTATGCCATGTTAGATGACACTGTATCTAATACGTCACCCCAGCTTCATATTGCCACCTTCAGAGATATGAACACAAGAACTGGCCATGACAGAATTAGATTTGAACTGGTACTGGGACCACACAGCTTACTGGAAGAGAAATTGATAATGGTGCGTCTATTAGAATTTGCTTCTTACATTTGGCCTATTTTTAACAGCTACCTGGTTTCAGCACAAGAATTGCCATATGTATACATTTAACTATCCATCGGGTGACAGAGTAACCTTGGATCACTTCTAGTTCAGATATTCTTGTCTAAACTCATCCGGGAGGTACATATATTTAGAAGTGCTAATCTTGCTCCAGAAACTGATCAATGACTCTTAATAGCAACAATGACGTTCCATTTAATAAAGTTCCAGAGACAGATATCTATTGCGTCAAAATGCTTCAATGGTGATCAGCTTCATGATGAAGTAATTGCTAATAGTTACTGTTAGGATATAGATCTTCAGGACTGTCTGTAAAGGCCTGTACTCTAAGAATTTAGGTGTATTCTTATCACTTGGCTAGTTAGAGATATAAAAGAAAGAATCAAAATCACTGCCTGCCGGTGTAAGGGCCTTCTCTTACTGTGACAGTCTGAGGCCCTGTTCTTAGGCTAAGGCCTTTGGCTAAGCAACAGAGGCAGCCATAAGCTGGGAAGCAACCGGTCACATCCTCACATTCCAAACTAGTCACATTGAAAGAAGGTGCTATTGGGCTGTTAGGAATACAATCCTGTCCTGATAGTGCCTATTGCCTCCAGAGAAAGGGAAGTGCCTAGAAAATGTAAAAGGAAACTTAGTTTGATAGCATCCTGTCTGGCAAGAACTCACTTATCAATAGCTCGGATGTGAAATCCTCACTTCTGTATTGTTTTGTCATTATAGTTCCCACTTTGCTATTAGAAAAGGAGTACTAGTGGCACCTTAGAGACTAACCAATTTATTTGAGCATAAGCTTTCGTGAGCTACAACTCACTTCATCGGATGCATACCGTGGAAAATACATGCTGCTGGAAATGGCCCACCTTGATTATCACTACAAAAAGTTTTCTTCACCCCTCCCGCTCTCCTGCTGGTAATAGCTCATCTTAAGTGATCACTCTCCTTACAGTGTGTATGATAACACCCATTTTTTCATGTTCTGTGTGTATATAAATCTCCTCACTGTATTTTCCACTGAATGCATCTGATGAAGTGAGCTGTAGCTCACGAAAGCTTATGCTCAAAGAAATCGGTTAGTCTCTAAGGTGCCACTAGTACTCCTTTTCTTTTTGCGAATACAGATTAACACGGCTGCTACTGTGACACTTTGCTATTGTTTGTCTGTATAATCTCTGTCTGGTCTGTGATTGTTCCTGTCTGCTGTATGATTAATTTTGCTGAGTGTAAACTAGTTAAGATGGTGGGATATAATTGGTTACATAATCATGTTATAATATGTTAGGATTGGTTAGTTAAATTTCAGGAAAATGGTTGGTTAAGGTATAGCTAAGCAGAACTCAAGTTTTACTATATAGTCTGCAGTCAATCAGGAAGTGGGTGGGTGGGTGTGGGGAGGGGAAATGGGAACAGGGAATGGGGGTGAGGAAATTGGAATCCTGTTTGGCTAAGGGCAGGAATGGGAACAGGGACACAGGTGTAAGGCTCTGTGGTGTCAGAGCTGGGAAGGGGGACACTAAGGAAGGAAACTAGAATCATGCTTGCTGGAAATTCACCCCAATAAACATTGAATTGTTTGCACCTTTGGACTTCGGGTATTGTTGCTCTCTGTTCATGCGAGAAGGACCAGGGAAGTAAGTGGGTGAAGGAATAAGCCCCCTAACAGTTACCCAGTAGCGATTTCCAAAAAATATTCTACCATGGAGGAAGAGTGGACTTTATTTCGAGAGTCTCTCACAGAGATTGCTGGAGTGGAGAACAAATGGGACTAAGGAGAATGAAAAAGCAATGTTGGATTACAAATGATACCATCAAACAGAGACAGAAAAAAAGACACTAACAACAGAGTTAATGAAGAGAGGAGGAAATGGGTAATAAAAAAAAGAAATGTTTTGAATGAGCAGTCAAGAGGGCCTGTTGGAATGATGCATTTAGGTGCACCTGAATGCTTTTTTTGTTTCATAAACATTAAGTAAAAATAAACACATTAGAAAAGAATCCCACATCACTGGAAAAGTCTAGCTCTAATGTAGATATCAGCAAGAATGCAAGAACATAAAGTTCCATGACCATTATATACACACGTACTTCGGCAAAAAGAAAATACGAAAAGCAACCATCTATGTGTAGCATTTTAAAGTGCTAGACCGTTAATGTGTATGTGCCTTACACTGATTACAAATCATTACCTCCTCACCAGCCAAACTGTACAGGATTCCCAGAAGCTCTGAAGTGCTCTTGTTTTTGCTAAGTGACCTTTCATACAGCTCTCAAAAGGGTGAAGATTTCTGACTGGCTGGTGAAGGACCTACAAACACGCCACTGTAACAAGGGTTATTCTTAAAGTGGTACCATCAACTTGGAAATCACATTTCCTCTGAATATCCTGAACCTGTTCTTGTGTTACTATGAGAAACTAAACAGTTTTCAGTGTCAAAGTTACAGCATATTCTTAACATCCACTGGTTTGTCACAAACAAGGAAACACTTAGATGAATCTGACAAGCTCTAGTTTTGCACCAGTTCAGAACAAGATGACTGCAAAGTTGGGGTCTTTTCCAGTGTGCAGAAGTAGGTGTGCTTTTACAGAAGGAAGTAGAGCATGAGGCTGACTATGAATGATGTTGGAATATGCATTTCTGAAGGATTTTTAAGCCTAAAATCTCCCATGCTGACTATTGCTGAAGGAGGATTTACAAAATGGAAGTCCATTCTACATGCAATCATGGCAGCAACATAGCCATGTGAATTTGCTGTTGTTGCATCTAAGATGTGTCTGCAAAATGGTTACAATTTGCCTTTTCTGTGTGGAAGATACTCATTTATGCATGCAGACAATAATCATGCGGTCAAACTCATTGTATATGTATTATATACCACAGATATCTAAGTACATTTTGCAGGGTTATCTTAGAAAGTCATGTTTGAAAATTTGTCCTTGACAGATGTATTTATCTGGGACCACAGTTTTTCAGTGAGATATTAAAAATGCACCTGTAATATTTATGGAAAATGCACATATACTTGTATGCATAAATGGACAGAGAAATGCCATTACTCGTTTGCTTGCACAAATACAGGGAATACATAAGAAAACATCTGCACTATTTGCAGGTTCATTTTGAGAGGCCCATTACACATTTGGCACTTAATGTATTGTATTGATTACCTTAGGGCCCAATCATGCAAACATTTATTACTGAGCATAGTGCTTACTGTGAAGAGTCCCACTGACTGTAAATTTGAAAGAGCTTTCTGTATAGGAGAGGGGCCAAAGTTGGCGTCATATAGCACAGACTCTGGCTGATCTCTAGTGTGGTCTCCAAAAGCTGACAGAAGCCTTAGAAACTGCTCCAGATAGTTTCTATATTTCATTTCTGAAGCCTTTTCTCAATGGTGATGGGAAATTGCATTCCTTAGTTTGCCTCCAGCCATTCATCCAAGACAGTGATGAGTGAATATGCTGAAAAATGAAATAGCTGGGGGAAGCCTGAAGCTATACAAGTCGTCTTCTTCCTCTTTCCTTTGAGATGCTGTAAAAACAGAGTCAGGGTTTGATAAAATAAGGGGATATGTAAAGGAAAAAACACTCTAGTTTCTTAAATAATGTTGTTTTAAAGATTCAGACACTCTTTTGATGATGGGTCATCACAACTCCTAGGGTGACACGGTACATTTCCTTTTAATCTTCCAGAATTGAATACCCAATCGTCACATAAAATATAAATGTTTGTCATTTTTAAAGGGTTGGAAGTGAAGAAGCACAGCTCTGGCAAAAAAACGAGCAAAAGCTTTTGAGTCCTGCTTACCAGAAGAGGATACAGGTTTCAGCTACAAAAAGAAACCAGCTTCTTCAAGAAAAGCAATGGTTGCAGGTAAGAAGAAAAGTAAAGTTGTGGCAAAAACCATTAGTGGGGGGAAAAGGTAGCTTGTAGGCGTTCTTGCTGAACTAAACAGACTGATAGTATAGCATACTACTTCTGTGCAGCAATTAGAGACTTGGCTGTAGTCCAGCTGATTATCTCAGTGATGACTGGCTGGGGTAGTGTGAATCTCATTACAGACAAGGAGGAGTTGAAGGCTCAGTTGCTCATGTGCATTCTTTAGCTTTCCTCATTATCTTTTAAGTATGCTCTTTAGGTTCACAGGTCTGATTTGCCTTCTCTATGCTTCACTGATCTTTAGCAGTTTTTATTTGAAGACAAAAAGAGAGTTTTGAAGAATACAATCTCCTGTTCACTTCTTTTCAGATTTGATTATCAGTATGTGATTTTCCAGCTTTTGTTCATGTAAGATGATCCGTACATTTTGTAGGGACACCGTGATTGTCATGAAAAAGTCAGCATTTGCCAATAGTAATTATGCACTGATACTTGAGATTACCATGGTCTCCCTCTCCATTTAGAATAGAAAGCATCTGTGTGGTAATGAGAAAAGGAGTACTTGTGGCACCTTAGAGACTAACCAATTTATTTGAGCATAAGCTTTCATGAGCTACAGCTCACTTCATCGGATGCATACTGTGGAAAGTACAGAAGATCTTTTTATACACACAAACCATGAAAAAATGGGTGTTTACCACTACAAAAGGTTTTCAAAGTTCAGCCACCAGGTTAGCCGTGACACTATCGGGGATAGTGTTCTTGACGGCTTGTAGTCCATCTTTGTGTGGAATGTTGGTGTAGAGGGCTTCTATAGCCATAGTGGCCAGGATGCAGTTGATAGATTTCCACTCCATACGGCTAAATGCAGTGCCTTGCATAATGACAGGTTTCAGAGTAACAGCTGTGTTAGTCTGACGTAGAAGCCCTCTACACCAACATTCCACACAAAGATGGACTACAAGCCATCAAGAACACTATCCCCGATAATGTCACGGCTAACCTGGTGGCTGAACTTTGTGACTTTGTCCTTACCCATAACTATTTTACATTTGGGGACAATGTATACCTTCAAATCAGCGGCACTGCTATGGGTACCTGCATGGCCCCACAGTATGCCAACATTTTTATGGCTGACTTAGAACAACGCTTCCTCAGCTCTCGTCCCCTAATGCCCCTACTCTACTTGCGCTATATTGATGACATCTTCATCATCTGGACCCATGGAAAAGAAGCCCTTGAGGCATTCCACCATGATTTCAACAATTTCCATCCCACGATCAACCTCAGCCTGGTCCAGTCCACACAAGAGATCCACTTCCTGGACATTACAGTGCTAATAAACGATGGTCACATAAACACCACCCTATACCGGAAACCTACTGACCACTATACCTACCTATGTGCCTTCAGCTTTCACCCTGACCACACCACACGATCCATTGTCTACAGCCAAGCTCTGAGATACAACCGCATTTGCTCCAACCCCTCAGACAGAGACAAACACCTACAAGATCTCTATCAAGCATTCTTACAACTACAATACCCACCTGCGGAAGTGAAGAAACAGATTGATAGAGCCAGAAGAGTTCCCAGAAGTCACCTACTACAGGACAGGCCTAACAAAGAAAATAACAGAATGCCACTAGTCGTCACCTTCAGCCCCCAACTAAAACCTCTCCAACGCATTATTAAGGATCTACAACCTATCCTAAAGGATGACCCAACACTCTCACAAATCAGTCCCTGCCTACAGACAGCCCCCCAGCCTGAAGCAAATACTCACCAGCAACCACATACCACACAACAGAACCACTAACCCAGGAACCTATCCTTGCAACAAAGCCCGTTGCCAACTGTGCCACATATCTATTCAGGGGACACCATCACAGGGCCTAATAACATCAGCCCACACTATCAGAGGCTCATTCACCTGCACATCCACCAATGTGATATATGGCATCATGTGCCCGCAGTGCCCCTCTGCCATGTACATTGGTCAAACTGGACAGTCTCTACGTAAAAGAATAAATGGACACAAATCAGATGTCAAGAATTATAACATTCATAAACCAGTCGGAGAACACTTCAATCTCTCTGGTCACACGATTACAGACATGAAAGTTGCGATATTACAACAGAAAAACTTCAAATCCAGACTCCAGCGAGAGACTGTTGAATTGGAATTCATTTGCAAATTGGATACAATTAACTTAGGCTTGAATAGAGACTGGGAGTGGCTAAGTCATTATGCAAGGTAACCTATTTCCCCTTGTTTTTTCCTACCCCTCCCCCTCCCCAATGTTCTTGTTAAACCCTGGATTTGTGCTGGAAATGGCTCACCTTGATTATCATACACATTGTAAGGAGAGTGATCACTTTAGATAAGCTATTACCAGCAGGAGAGTGGGGTGGGGGGAGAGAAAACCTTTTGTAGTGGTAAATACCCATTTTTTCATAGTTTGTGTGTATAAAAAGATTTGTACTTTCCACAGTATGCATCCGATGAAGTGAGCTGTAGCTCACGAAAGCTTATGCTCAAATAAATTGGTTAGTCTCTAAGATGCCACAAGTACTCCTTTTCTTTTTGCGAATACAGACTAACACGGCTGTTACTCTGAAACCTGTGTGGTAATGGTTATAAATGTTAACTGTTTAAATGGCTGCTGCTGTAATGTTTGTGTAAAATTAATTGCAAACTCTTCAACTATAGTTTAGATTTTTCTTCATATCCCCACCACCCAAAAGGCTCTATTCCTTATTGTCTAAGAATGAAACCCTCTTTTCTCTAATATTCCTGATCAACTTTAGTGATTACATTGAAGAATGAATTATCCTGGAGGGCTAACTAGAGGCTTGCAGCCATACTCTTCTGATCTTTACTGCAAGGCTCCTTGTTCATAATTTTTTTCGTGTGTTCAGTGGTAGGAAGAGGTGAGGTGGGAAGCATATACATTAAAGAAACAGAGAATTTCTTAGATAACAGTGCTAAATTGAGGTCCTTTCTGTCATCTCACGTGGCTGCCCAAGAGGACATTAAAGATCCCATGACACTTCTGGAAAAAATCAGGAGATAACTGCAGTTTACTAGCCAAAATGTCTATTCTGAATAAAATAGGTTTCAGTCCCCCAAGAATGCATGTGAACTATTTTTAAGTGTATGGTAGCTTTCTCTTTTGCTTATGCAGGCTCTGCAATACTAGTATCTAATTAATTGTAGTGTACGATATTTGAATATGAAAACTGTATTATAAAACCAGTTCTGTTCATCTTCCTGTACATTCCCCCATAAGTCTCTTACTGCACTCATTACAATTAGTACATTTTCAAAGAATGTGGAGGGCTTTGTATTAAGTGAGGCTATCTAAAATTCTGGCAGTATTCCCAAACCAGTAGTACAGAGAAGGAAATGTTCTTTGTGCACACTAAAAACCTGATTTGAGACTCACAAAAACAAAACTGATGTTTTTGGCCTGCTGACCTTTGTTATCTCCTTGACAAATGCCTGTGGGATGAAACATCAGCTGCTCTGTTCTCTTGTTGCTACTTCTAAGAAAAAATAAAATTATTGATGCATCTACTGTGCAACATTGCAGTAAGTTGAATTCTTTGAGCTAATTTGGTCCTTTAATATGCAAGAACTGTTTCTTCTTATGCTAAGTAATACAAATATAAAGTTGGAATAATGTTTACTCTCTGGCAAACTTTAAAATATACCTTTCAGAAATTGAGCATTACTGCTTTACTGAATATTGTTAACATTTAAATTATATACAAAAAAACTACATTAAAAGAATGTAAAGGTTGCAAAGTCAAGCTCTCAGAAATTAGGAAATGCCAAATACAAGGTTACCTCTGGATCCTTAATTCAGCCCTCTTGTATATATGCATTATGACAATCTTTAATTATGTGATCACATCTATGTTTTTGACAGGACCCTGACCTCATTCAGTGCACAGACTGGACAGTGCTTAGTGAATGAGCAGCTATTCAATGTTCCATTTTATCCTCATTAATCTTTAATGTGTAGCCCCAGCACACTATTCAAACCCTGCTCTGAATACAGAATTATTAATTATCCTCATGGGTTTTTCTATGGTGCTCATCATTTGAGTATCTGGGTGCTCCACAAACGTTAATGAATTTATCTTCATAGCACCCCTAGGAGGAAAGGCAGTATTATTTCCATTTTACAGATGGAGAATTAAGACACAGAGACATTGATGTCAAAATACACATTAATTTTCGGTGCCCATTTTGAGATGCCTAGGGTCTGATTTTGCAGAGAATGTATCATTTTATAACACTTAATGTGTTCATAGCACAGTTATCATTGACTTTGTTTGCAGTTATAAGCACTCACCTTTTCTACAAATCAGAGCCCCCAGGTGCTAGACACCCAGAAAATGAGAAACTGTGTGGCACAGGCAAGGATAGAATTCAGTTCTCCAGACTAGCATTCAGCTGTCTAGACAATGAGATCATTCTTTCTCTTCCATGCAATCCTCTGCCTTGCTCGCTACCCACCTTCTGAATTCTGCAACAAATGAGGCAGTGGTGCTAAGTCAACAGCCTCATTAACTGCACAACCCTGGTTCCTTCTGAGAGCACCATCCATCCTGTGCACAGAATGACACACGGGTCCTATTGAGAATTAGTGTTTGATCATGTCATTAAAGACTACGATAATACACAAAGGGTGGAATTTAGTTTGGACAAGAGTGCTTGACTTTGCAACTTTGTAATGTTTTATTAATGTTTTAATTTTATTTCTTATGCTTTTTACAAACTTAAATATTGTGGAGTATTGATGCACAGGAGACAGAGTCTCCCTTCTTTCTCTTCCTGTGCCTGCCACCACATTGGCAGATGGGAGGAGCAATTGCAGGGAAAGTCTTGCTCAGCTCCTGCAGCCCTGCACTGATGTAGATGGAATGCTTAGTCTAGATTGAATCTTCAGAAAATTTAGCTGCCAAACTCTAACAAGTCTGTACTGATCATGTGCAAACTGAGATTTTTCATAGGTCCATAACTTGGCCAGATTTTCACAGGGACGGGAAAAGACATATATCTGACACAGGGCTGACCTTCAGTGAAGTTTCAAGCGCCTGCTCCAGAGCATAGAGGTGTTAGAGCATCTCAATAAAATGTCTATAAGAAATTATTAACATGGGTAAAAACAATGTATTTTCCCCTAACGTTGTGCTGAGAAACAGTGAAACTGTTTTTGCTGAAAATTTCCAAAAAATTCAGCCTGAGGCAGAGACCCAGTATGGAAAATTTCAGACCAAATGGTCAAAGTTTGGCAAAGTTATAAGAAACTGAAAATAAAGTCTTATAACGGAAAGTGCTTGTCACCTTTAACTATAGACTGCCATCTGCACTGCCTATAATATACTATATTTTATTAGCAGCAGAGTTGTTTTCCTTAACAAGGTTAATGAATAAACTTTGGTCTCTACTCCATACAGAAAGAAATTGAAGACCTCAGAGCAAGGCTGGCTGTGCTAGAAGCAAAAGATCAACAGTTAAGACGAGATATTGAAGAGCAAGATAGGCTTATTCAGTCGCAGGACTGCGAGTTGACTGCCTTGCTTAGCTGCGTATCTTTGAGAGAGCTACAGGAAATAAGCAAGGCCTTAGATGACACTTTAGCATTGTCAGATCAAATTCCATTTAGCTTGGATCTCCCTGGGACCATCAAGAGGTATTTATGCATTTTAATTATTTTCCATTATATTTTCAATGACATGTTGAATTTATATTGCTGAACCATTGCATCAGCTGCCATTTTTTTTCCCTCATGCTCTTCAAAGATGACCTGACTCAGAGGAATGTATATTAAAAAAAAATAAACCAGATAATCAGAGAAATGCAGATAGAAAAAAGAAGCCTAGTGCTTGCAATATAAACTTTAAAGGGACAGTGTCAGGAAAAAAAACGTGTCTCTGCTTTTCAAAAAAACAAACAAAAACTGTTTTTAATAACACAGATTATTCAGTCTGAAAGATATATAAGAATTAATTTATTTGCTTCTTACTGTTACAAATTGTCTATTCTTTGCATTTTGCTCAGTTTGGACAATAAACACTTCTTGTTTATACCTGGTTCAGTTTCACATTTATTAGTACAAAATGTTTTGGATTTGCAATAGTGCTTATTATTATTTTACTATTATTGATATTCTGACTGTGCCTTGTGTTGTACAGATAAATGATGAAATTGTTTTTCCAAATTCATTAATACTCAACTGCTCAAACTAAGTTTAGTAACCCTTCTTCTCCTTCCTTCCTTAGTCTTGTTCTGAACATCCTTCCTGGGAGTTCTACCAAGGGATGGCAGCTTTAATTTGTGGCCACTTGCAGAGGCTGAATTAACATCTCTCCAAGGCTTCCTTGTCACACCCTTTGCCCTATTAGAACTACCCATGTTTGGGGTGGGGCTGGACAGCTGCACAGGCAATCTTAATTCTGGCATTTCCTTACACTGAGTGCTTGACTTTTTAACCTTAACATTCTTTTAATGTAGTTTTTTGGATATAATAACAAATTCATTTGCTAATTTCCCTAATACACTTGGAATTATATAATCTGACCAAGTTGATTTGATGGTCAGAGTTTCCAAGGATGATATAGCTGCTCTTTATAAATAGTATGGCTGTCAAGCGATTAAAAAAAGTAATCACGATTAATCGCACTGTTAAACAATAATAGAATACCATTTATTTAAATATTTTTGGATGTTTTCTACATTTTCAACTATATTGATTTCAGTTACAACACAGAATACAAAGTGTACAGTGTACGCTTTATATTTATTTTTATTACAAATATTTGCACTGTAAAAAACAAAAGACATGGTATTTTCAATTCACCTAATAGAAATACTGCAGTGCAATCCCTTTATCATGAAAGTTGAATTTACAAATGTCAAATTATGTACAAAAAATAACTGCATTCAAAAATAAAACAATGTAAAACTTTAGAGCCTACAAGTCCACTCAGTCGTACTTCAGCCAATCGCTCAAACGAACAAGTTTGGTTACATTTGCAGGAGATAATGCTGCCTACTTCTTGATTACGATGTCACCTGAAAGTGAGAACAGGCGTTCTCATGGCACTGTTGTAACCAACATCGCAAGATATTTACATGCCAGATGCTCTAAAGATTCATATGTCCCTTCATGCACCATTCCAGAGGACATGCACCCATGCTGATGACGGGTTCTGCTCAATAATGATCCAAAGCAGAGTGGACCGATATGTGTTCATTTTCATCATCTGAGTCAGATGCCACCAGCAGAAGATTGATTTTCTTTTTTGGTGGTTCGGGTTCTGTAGTTTCTGCATCTGAGTGTTGCTCTTTTCAGACTTCTGAAAGCATGCTCCATAGCTTGTCCCTCTCAGATTTTGGATGGCACTTCAGATTCTTAAACCTTGGGTCGAGTGCTGTAGCTATTTTTAGAAATATCACATTGGTACCTTCTTTGCATTTTGTCAAATTTGCAGTGACAGTGTTCATAAATCAAACAACATGCTGGGTCATCACCCGAGACTGCTATAATATGAAATATATGGCAGAATGCGAGTGAAACAGAGCAGGGGACATACAATTCTCCCTCAAGGCATTCAGACACAAATGTAATTAACGCACTATTTTTTTAAGGAACATCTTCATCATGGAAGCATGTTCTCTGGAGTGGTGGCTGTAATATGAAGGGGCCTATGAATGGTTAGCATATCTGGTATGTAAATACTTTGCAATGCCGGCTACAAAAGTGCCATGCAAACTCCTGTTCTCACTTTCAGGTGACATTGTAAATCAGAAGCAGGCAGTAGTATTTCCCGTAAATGTAAACAAACGTATTTGTCTTAGTGATTGGCTGAACAAGAAGTAGGACTGCGTGGACTTGTAGGCTCTAAAGTTTTATATTGTTTTGTTTTTGAGTGCTGTTATGTAACCAAAAAAAATCTACATTTGTAAGTTGCACTTTCACGATAGAGGTTGCACTACTTGTGTGAGATGAATTGAAAAATACTATTTCTTTTGTTTCATTTTTACAGTGTAAATATTTGTAATAAAAATAATATAAAGTGAGTACTTTATTTACTTTTGTATTCTGTGTTGTAATAGAAATCAATATATTTGAAAATGTAGAAAAACATCCAAAAATATTTAATACATTTCAATTGGTATTCTATTGTTTAAAAGTGGGATTAATTACAATTAATTTTTTTTGGTTAATCGCGTGAGTTAACTGTGATTAATCGACAACCCTAATCAATAGATATTTGTAGAAGACCTTCCTTCTTTATCAGTTGTTTAAAATTCTTCCCCCCTTTTGTTTTGATCAAAGACACATTTACCAAAAGCATTTTATTCCCTCAGCTATTAATCATCATCAGTTTCAACATGCTCCTTATTTACTAGCACATACACTTTCTCCCCAGCACTTGCAATGTGGTAAGTGTAATTTATTCCTTGCATGCTCAAAATATGTGCTAGGCACCATACGGACAAAAATTAAAAAGATATGCTTGCTTCCAACCTAAATAGAGAGACACATCCTGAGGGATAGGAACAAACAATGGAGAAGGAAGAGAGGGAAGGAAGGTGCATCTTGGGATGCATAATTTTGTTTGGTGCACAGCCTGGTGGCTTCTCTTAATGTACATATAGGAGTATAGACATATTGGGTCACGTTTTCTACTGTGCCCAAGTCCCATTTATAAAAGGGACTAGAGGCACTTCAGAGCCTGGGTCTCATTGAGTATTAATGGGACTTAAGCTCCTAATTCTCTTTTGAAAATGTTACCCGCTGTCTTTATATGCCAGCAGGACCTTAGAAAAGAATCTTGTTTATCATAACTTTATTTTCTATCTGATCACCAGTATACAGTTTTATCTCTTCTTCCTTTTTACCCTTTGCATTTACTGGGTTTGTTTTGATTTTATTAATATTAATGAGGTGTTGTTGTTTGTATGTGCTAATTTATTTTAAAAATTGTCAGAAGAATGTCCAAAGAAAGATTCATCTCTGAATTTTAATCTAGAATGTAGGCAATGGTAACTTGAATTTTTTTGTTGTTCTGTAGCTTTCGTGCCTGTTTTTATTCTATGTGAAAATTTGTCTCTACTGTCTCGCAGTTTGGTGGCCTAGCAGTTGCCAGAGACTATGCTTTGATTCCAGTACCTTCTGTTATTTTTGGATTTGGTTACAGGAGCATATTCAATCTTCTTTTTCTTCTTTCTTGCATTGTCAATAAGTGATTTTAATAGTACTTGACATATTCTATCTTGAAAGTTCTTTAAAAATGTATAAACTAAATAATTGCAGATTGTTATACCATTATATGAGTAAGTTGGAACTCTTGCAATGGGGTCTCATGGAACCAGCATCATAAATAATGTTTCTGCTTTAGGGAAAAAGTGTGTGGGGAACATCGTTAGTAATGGGCTCCGAAATAACATAACAGTGAACTTGCTGCTGTATACCTTCTCTGTCATCGTTTCTTTTCCCCTCCTGTTCCCCCTTGAAAAGAATGTGGTGTTTTTTCACCTAATTTAGATTATAAACTTTTGGGGACAGGAACTTGTCAGATTTTGTGTCAACAAAGATCATGCAGACTTATAGTACTACATAAATAAGAATAATGGATCCAAATCCTGCATTCAGCTCATTTGCTCAAGCCATGTTCTGTGTGCTGGCACCTCTGTGGCTTGGGTGGGAATGCAGTCTCCTCTCCAAGATACTTTACTGCTGAGGTTCTCTCTGGTTTAAGTAGCCTTTGCTCCAGCTGTTCCGCATTGTCCTCCCTCAGTGTAAAGGAAGGTGAATTTGCACTGATTTTCCATTCCTGCCCTGTTTCTTATCTGTCCCAAAACCATGTGCTATGTTGGATTGCAGAAAGCACCTACAGAGGTGTGCTGCATGGTGTGCAGGCGTTGCAGACTCCCAGCATGGACTCCCTGCTGCCTCCACAGGAGAACCTTGCTGGTTCTGCTATATTCAAGGCTTTGTGTGTCCAGAGGGGTCGGGAGGGATATGTTCCTACAATAAATGCAGCTCGTTCATCATAACAGGTGAATTTTAATCTTCTAGGCTGTGCGAAATGATTGGTGTTTTTCTTTAAGACTATAAAGTCACTTATAGTCAAGGTCACAATGACCTATACCTGGTCCAGTAAATGCTCTGTTGCCACTTTGTAATGTATTAAAACAGCTACAACTGTAAAATAGTGCATCTGGCATCAATAATAATTTACAGCTGCTTGTACATACTGGAAATTATATGTGCCTGAAAAAGTCCTCCACTTTTAGTCAACTTATTCTGAATTGTCATTCCTTGGGGAAGATATTGGCATGTCAGTTAACAGGTTAAAATACCTAGTCAGAATTAGCAGAGTTTAGTAGATTGTTGTTCAATTTTGAGTTTGTAACCATTGAGGTTCTTTATTCCTAATGTGAAAGAGATTTAGCTGGTAATGGGGATTTTATTTTATGAAGCATAAAAAAGAAATATTACTAATTCTTTTAAAGATAGTTCAGAGCTATTTGTATGATCAATGAATCAAACTTTAGCCACATATTATTATTCAAATGAATCTATGCATATGAACTACAGTGCTGACGCTTACAGCTGAGCCTCATTCAGCACTGGTGGGTTTGAAGGCCAGCTGGCTGGGTACCAGGTGCAGATATTGTGTA